AACAGCTGCATCAAACGTGTCAGCACGCAGCGTTATTGTACAGCAGCCTAAGCATCTGGTCTCATTGCAGTCGGTCGAATGTTAAGAATGACACGGTCGCACCAGTAAGGCTTCAGTCACATCCGGTTGTGATCATGAGAACTTAAGATGTGAATAGAGCGTGCTTCGTTGCCTGATCTTCGAGCATAGTTGTGGTAGTTTCATTGTGACGAGCAGCACATCTGACAATCGAAGCAGCTGTGCGGTCCGATATTTCAAGTGACCATATCTTTGTAACGAGGAGTCCGTAGAAAGTATAAATGGCTGTTCTGTAGAGAGGGTGTCTATGCGGTTCATTGTAGTGTGCTAGGTTTGCTGTATCAGCTGTTTGATGTGTCAGTGGGAAGTGACTCGCTCGAGCTAGCACTTTGGCGCAGAGGAAGCGTGTTGGGCTCATAACCCAAAGGTCGTTGGATCGAGACCAACAAGTGCTATCCTTATCCATGGACTCTCTGCATCGCTTGTCTCTGTTAAAACTCGTGTAGTCTGACTGCCCGACCGATTGATGCATCGGGTAGTATTGGAGTATTCATTCGAGACCGAAAACAGCTGCATCAAACGTGTCAGCACGCAGCGTTATTGTACAGCAGCCTAAGCATCTGGTCTCATTGCAGTCGGTCGAATGTTAAGAATGACACGGTCGCACCAGTAAGGCTTCAGTCACATCCGGTTGTGATCATGAGAACTTAAGATGTGAATAGAGCGTGCTTCGTTGCCTGATCTTCGAGCATAGTTGTGGTAGTTTCATTGTGACGAGCAGCACATCTGACAATCGAAGCAGCTGTGCGGTCCGATATTTCAAGTGACCATATCTTTGAAACGAGGAGTCCGTAGAAAGTATAAATGGCTGTTCTGTAGAGAGGGTGTCTATGCGGTTCATTGTAGTGTGCTAGGTTTGCTGTATCAGCTGTTTGATGTGTCAGTGGGAAGTGACTCGCTCGAGCTAGCACTTTGGCGCAGAGGAAGCGTGTTGGGCTCATAACCCAAAGGTCGTTGGATCGAGACCAACAAGTGCTATCTTTATCCATGGACTCTCTGCATCGCTTGTCTCTGTTAAAACTCGTGTAGTCTGACTGCCCGACCGATTGATGCATCGGGTAGTATTGGAGTATTCATTCGAGACCGAAAACAGCTGCATCAAACGTGTCAGCACGCAGCGTTATTGTACAGCAGCCTAAGCATCTGGTCTCATTGCAGTCGGTCGAATGTTAAGAATGACACGGTCGCACCAGTAAGGCTTCAGTCACATCCGGTTGTGATCATGAGAACTTAAGATGTGAATAGAGCGTGCTTCGTTGCCTGATCTTCGAGCATAGTTGTGGTAGTTTCATTGTGACGAGCAGCACATCTGACAATCGAAGCAGCTGTGCGGTCCGATATTTCAAGTGACCATATCTTTGAAACGAGGAGTCCGTAGAAAGTATAAATGGCTGTTCTGTAGAGAGGGTGTCTATGCGGTTCATTGTAGTGTGCTAGGTTTGCTGTATCAGCTGTTTGATGTGTCAGTGGGAAGTGACTCGCTCGAGCTAGCACTTTGGCGCAGAGGAAGCGTGTTGGGCTCATAACCCAAAGGTCGTTGGATCGAGACCAACAAGTGCTATCCTTATCCATGGACTCTCTCCATCGCTTGTCTCTGTTAAAACTCGTGTAGTCTGACTGCCCGACCGATTGATGCATCGGGTAGTATTGGAGTATTCATTCGAGACCGAAAACAGCTGCATCAAACGTGTCAGCACGCAGCGTTATTGTACAGCAGCCTAAGCATCTGGTCTCATTGCAGTCGGTCGAATGTTAAGAATGACACGGTCGCACCTGTAAGGCTTCAGTCACATCCGGTTGTGATCATGAGAACTTAAGATGTGAATAGAGCGTGCTTCGTTGCCTGATCTTCGAGCATAGTTGTGGTAGTTTCATTGTGACGAGCAGCACATCTGACAATCGAAGCAGCTGTGCGGTCCGATATTTCAAGTGACCATATCTTTGAAACGAGGAGCCCGTAGAAAGTATAAATGGCTGTTCTGTAGAGAGGGTGTCTATGCGGTTCATTGTAGTGTGCTAGGTTTGCTGTACCAGCTGTTTGATGTGTCAGTGGGAAGTGACTCGCTCGAGCTAGCACTTTGGCGCAGAGGAAGCGTGTTGGGCTCATAACCCAAAGTCGTTGGATCGAGACCAACAAGTGCTATCCTTATCCATGGACTCTCTACATCGCTTGTCTCTGTTAAAATTCGTGTAGTCTGACTGCCCGACCGATTGATGCATCGGGTAGTATTGGAGTATTCATTCGAGACCGAAAACAGCTGCATCAAACGTGTCAGCACGCAGCGTTATTGTACAGCAGCCTAAGCATCTGGTCTCATTGCAGTCGGTCGAATGTTAAGAATGACACGGTCGCACCAGTAAGGCTTCAGTCACATCCGGTTGTGATCATGAGAACTTAAGATGTGAATAGAGCGTGCTTCGTTGCCTGATCTTCGAGCATAGTTGTGGTAGTTTCATTGTGACGAGCAGCACATCTGACAATCGAAGCAGCTGTGCGGTCCGATATTTCAAGTGACCATATCTTTGAAACGAGGAGTCCGTAGAAAGTATAAATGGCTGTTCTGTAGAGAGGGTGTCTATGCGGTTCATTGTAGTGTGCTAGGTTTGCTGTACCAGCTGTTTGATGTGTCAGTGGGAAGTGACTCGCTCGAGCTAGCACTTTGGCGCAGAGGAAGCGTGTTGGGCTCATAACCCAAAGGTCGTTGGATCGAGACCAACAAGTGCTATCCTTATCCATGGACTCTCTCCATCGCTTGTCTCTGTTAAAACTCGTGTAGTCTGACTGCCCGACCGATTGATGCATCGGGTAGTATTGGAGTATTCATTCGAGACCGAAAACAGCTGCATCAAACGTGTCAGCACGCAGCGTTATTGTACAGCAGCCTAAGCATCTGGTCTCATTGCAGTCGGTCGAATGTTAAGAATGACACGGTCGCACCAGTAAGGCTTCAGTCACATCCGGTTGTGATCATGAGAACTTAAGATGTGAATAGAGCGTGCTTCGTTGCCTGATCTTCGAGCATAGTTGTGGTAGTTTCATTGTGACGAGCAGCACATCTGACAATCGAAGCAGCTGTGCGGTCCGATATTTCAAGTGACCATATCTTTGAAACGAGGAGTCCGTAGAAAGTATAAATGGCTGTTCTGTAGAGAGGGTGTCTATGCGGTTCATTGTAGTGTGCTAGGTTTGCTGTACCAGCTGTTTGATGTGTCAGTGGGAAGTGACTCGCTCGAGCTAGCACTTTGGCGCAGAGGAAGCGTGTTGGGCTCATAACCCAAAGGTCGTTGGATCGAGACCAACAAGTGCTATCCTTATCCATGGACTCTCTCCATCGCTTGTCTCTGTTAAAACTCGTGTAGTCTGACTGCCCGACCGATTGATGCATCGGGTAGTATTGGAGTATTCATTCGAGACCGAAAACAGCTGCATCAAACGTGTCAGCACGCAGCGTTATTGTACAGCAGCCTAAGCATCTGGTCTCATTGCAGTCGGTCGAATGTTAAGAATGACACGGTCGCACCAGTAAGGCTTCAGTCACATCCGGTTGTGATCATGAGAACTTAAGATGTGAATAGAGCGTGCTTCGTTGCCTGATCTTCGAGCATAGTTGTGGTAGTTTCATTGTGACGAGCAGCACATCTGACAATCGAAGCAGCTGTGCGGTCCGATATTTCAAGTGACCATATCTTTGAAACGAGGAGTCCGTAGAAAGTATAAATGGCTGTTCTGTAGAGAGGGTGTCTATGCGGTTCATTGTAGTGTGCTAGGTTTGCTGTACCAGCTGTTTGATGTGTCAGTGGGAAGTGACTCGCTCGAGCTAGCACTTTGGCGCAGAGGAAGCGTGTTGGGCTCATAACCCAAAGGTCGTTGGATCGAGACCAACAAGTGCTATCCTTATCCATGGACTCTCTCCATCGCTTGTCTCTGTTAAAACTCGTGTAGTCTGACTGCCCGACCGATTGATGCATCGGGTAGTATTGGAGTATTCATTCGAGACCGAAAACAGCTGCATCAAACGTGTCAGCACGCAGCGTTATTGTACAGCAGCCTAAGCATCTGGTCTCATTGCAGTCGGTCGAATGTTAAGAATGACACGGTCGCACCAGTAAGGCTTCAGTCACATCCGGTTGTGATCATGAGAACTTAAGATGTGAATAGAGCGTGCTTCGTTGCCTGATCTTCGAGCATAGTTGTGGTAGTTTCATTGTGACGAGCAGCACATCTGACAATCGAAGCAGCTGTGCGGTCCGATATTTCAAGTGACCATATCTTTGAAACGAGGAGTCCGTAGAAAGTATAAATGGCTGTTCTGTAGAGAGGGTGTCTATGCGGTTCATTGTAGTGTGCTTGGTTTGCTGTACCAGCTGTTTGATGTGTCAGTGGGAAGTGACTCGCTCGAGCTAGCACTTTGTCGCAGAGGAAGCGTGTTGGGCTCATAACCCAAAGGTCGTTGGATCGAGACCAACAAGTGCTATCCTTATCCATGGACTCTCTGCATCGCTTGTCTCTGTTAAAACTCGTGTAGTCTGACTGCCCGACCGATTGATGCATCGGGTAGTATTGGAGTATTCATTCGAGACCGAAAACAGCTGCATCAAACGTGTCAGCACGCAGCGTTATTGTACAGCAGCCTAAGCATCTGGTCTCATTGCAGTCGGTCGAATGTTAAGAATGACACGGTTGCACCAGTAAGGCTTCAGTCACATCCGGTTGTGATCATGAGAACTTAAGATGTGAATAGAGCGTGCTTCGTTGCCTGATCTTCGAGCATAGTTGTGGTAGTTTCATTGTGACGAGCAGCACATCTGACAATCGAAGCAGCTGTGCGGTCCGATATTTCAAGTGACCATATCTGTGAAACGAGGAGTCCGTAGAAAGTATAAATGGCTGTTCTGTAGAGAGGGTGTCCATGCGGTTCATTCTAGTGTGCTAGGTTTGCTGTACCAGCTATTTGATGTGTCAGTGGGAAGTGACACGCTCGAGCTAGCACCTTGGCGCAGAGGAAGCGTGTTGGGCTCATAACCCAAAGGTCGTTGGATCGAGACCAACAAGTGCTATCCTTATCCATGGACTCTCTCCATCGCTTGTCTCTGTTAAAACTCGTGTAGTCTGACTGCCCGACCGATTGATGCATCGGGTAGTATTGGAGTATTCACTCGAGACCGAAAACAGCTGCATCAAACGTGTCAGCATGCAGCGTTATTGTACAGCGGCCTAAGCATCTGGTCTCATTGCAGTCGGTCGAATGTTAAGAATGACACGGTTGCACCAGTAAGACTTCAGTCACATCCGGTTGTGATCATGAGAACTTAAGATGTGAATAGAGCGTGCTTCGTTGCCTGATCTTCGAGCATAGTTGTGGTAGTTTCATTGTGACGAGCAGCACATCTGACGATCGAAGCAGCTGTGCGGTCCGATATTTCAAGTGACCATATCTGTGAAACGAGGAGTCTGTAGAAAGTATAAATGGCTGTTCTGTAGAGAGGGTGTCTATGCGGTTCATTGTAGTGTGCTTGGTCTGCTGTACCAGCTGTTTGATGTGTCAGTGGGAAGTGACTCGCTCGAGCTAGCACTTTGTCGCAGAGGAAGCGTGTTGGGCTCATAACCCAAAGGTCGTTGGATCGAGACCAACAAGTGCTATCCTTATCCATGGACTCTCTGCATCGCTTTTCTCTATTAAAACTCGTATAGTCTGACTGCCCGACCGATTGATGCATCGGGTAGTATTGGAGTATTCATTCGAGACCGAAAACAGCTACATCAAACGTGTCAGCACGCAGCGTTATTGTACAGCAGCCTAAGCATCTGGTCTCATTGCAGTCGGTCGAATGTTAAGAATGACACGGTTGCACCAGTAAGGCTTCAGTCACATCCGGTTGTGATCATGAGAACTTAAGATGTGAATAGAGCGTGCTTCGTTGCCTGATCTTCGAGCATAGTTGTGGTAGTTTCATTGTGACGAGCAGCACATCTGACGATCGAAGCAGCTGTGCGGTCCGATATTTCAAGTGACCATATCTTTGAAACGAGGAGTCCGTAGAAAGTATAAATGGCTGTTCTGTAGAGGGGGTGTCCATGCGTTTCATTGTAGTGTGTAGGTTGCTGTATCAGCTGTTTGACGTGTCAGTGGGAAGTGACTCGCTCGAGCTAGCACTTTGGCGCAGAGGAAGCGTGTTGGGCTCATAACCCAAAGGTCGTTGGATCGAGACCAACAAGTGCTATCCTTATCCATGGACTCTCTCCATCGCTTGTCTCTGTTAAAACTCGTGTAGTCTGACTGCCCGACCGATTGATGCATCGGGTAGTATTGGAGTATTCATTCGAGACCGAAAACAGCTGCATCAAACGTGTCAGCATGCAGCGTTATTGTACAGCGGCCTAAGCATCTGGTCTCATTGCAGTCGGTCGAATGTTAAGAATGACACGGTTGCACCAGTAAGACTTCAGTCACATCCGGTTGTGATCATGAGAACTTAAGATGTGAATAGAGCGTGCTTCGTTGCCTGATCTTCGAGCATAGTTGTGGTAGTTTCATTGTGACGAGCAGCACATCTGACAATCGAAGCAGCTGTGCGGTCCGATATTTCAAGTGACCATATCTTTGAAACGAGGAGTCCGTAGAAAGTATAAATGGCTGTTCTGTAGAGAGGGTGTCTATGCGGTTCATTGTAGTGTGCTTAGGTCTGCTGTACCAGCTGTTTGATGTGTCAGTGGGAAGTGACTCGCTCGAGCTAGCACTTTGTCGCAGAGGAAGCGTGTTGGGCTCATAACCCAAAGGTCGTTGGATCGAGACCAACAAGTGCTATCCTTATCCATGGACTCTCTGCATCGCTTGTCTCTGTTAAAACTCGTGTAGTCTGACTGCCCGACCGATTGATGCATCGGGTAGTATTGGAGTATTCATTCGAGACCGAAAACAGCTGCATCAAACGTGTCAGCACGCAGCGTTATTGTACAGCGGCCTAAGCATCTGGTCTCATTGCAGTCGGTCGAATGTTAAGAATGACACGGTTGCACCAGTAAGGCTTCAGTCACATCCGGTTGTGATCATGAGAACTTAAGATGTGAATAGAGCGTGCTTCGTTGCCTGATCTTCGAGCATAGTTGTGGTAGTTTCATTGTGACGAGCAGCACATCTGACAATCGAAGCAGCTGTGCGGTCCGATATTTCAAGTGACCATATCTTTGAAACGAGGAGTCCGTAGAAAGTATAAATGGCTGTTCTGTAGAGAGGGTGTCTATGCGGTTCATTGTAGTGTGTTAGGTTTGCTGTATCAGCTGTTTGATGTGTCAGTGGGAAGTGACTCGCTCGAGCTAGCACTTTGGCGCAGAGGAAGCGTGTTGGGCTCATAACCCAAAGGTCGTTGGATCGAGACCAACAAGTGCTATCCTTATCCACGGACTCTAGGCATCGCTTGTCTCTGTTAAAACTCGTGTAGTCTGACTGCCCGACCGATTGATGCATCGGGTAGTATTGGAGTATTCATTCGAGACCGAAAACAGCTGCATCAAACGTGTCAGCACGCAGCGTTATTGTACAGCGGCCTAAGCATCTGGTCTCATTGCAGTCGGTCGAATGTTAAGAATGACACGGTTGCACCAGTAAGACTTCAGTCACATCCGGTTGTGATCATGAGAACTTAAGATGTGAATAGAGCGTGCTTCGTTGCCTGATCTTCGAGCATAGTTGTGGTAGTTTCATTGTGACGAGCAGCACATCTGACAATCGAAGCAGCTGTGCGGTCCGATATTTCAAGTGACCATATCTTTGAAACGAGGAGTCCGTAGAAAGTATAAATGGCTGTTCTGTAGAGAGGGTGTCTATGCGGTTCATTGTAGTGTGCTAGGTTTGCTGTATCAGCTGTTTGATGTGTCAGTGGGAAGTGACTCGCTCGAGCTAGCACTTTGGCGCAGAGGAAGCGTGTTGGGCTCATAACCCAAAGGTCGTTGGATCGAGACCAACAAGTGCTATCCTTATCCACGGACTCTCTGCATCGCTTGTCTCTGTTAAAACTCGTGTAGTCTGACTGCCCGACCGATTGATGCATCGGGTAGTATTGGAGTATTCATTCGAGACCGAAAACAGCTGCATCAAACGTGTCAGCACGCAGCGTTATTGTACAGCGGCCTAAGCATCTGGTCTCATTGCAGTCGGTCGAATGTTGAGAATGACACGGTTGCACCAGTAAGACTTCAGTCACATCCGGTTGTGATCATGAGAACTTAAGACGTGAATAGAGCGTGCTTCGTTGCCTGATCTTCGAGCATAGTTGTGGTAGTTTCATTGTGACGAGCAGCACATCTGACAATCGAAGCAGCTGTGCGGTCCGATATTTCAAGTGACCATATCTTTGAAACGAGGAGTCCGTAGAAAGTATAAATGGCTGTTCTGTAGAGAGGGTGTCTATGCGGTTCATTGTAGTGTGCTAGGTTTGCTGTATCAGCTGTTTGATGTGTCAGTGGGAAGTGACTCGCTCGAGCTAGCACTTTGGCGCAGAGGAAGCGTGTTGGGCTCATAACCCAAAGGTCGTTGGATCGAGACCAACAAGTGCTATCCTTATCCACGGACTCTATGCATCGCTTGTCTCTGTTAAAACTCGTGTAGTCTGACTGCCCGACCGATTGATGCATCGGGTAGTATTGGAGTATTCACTCGAGACCGAAAACAGCTGCATCAAACGTGTCAGCACGCAGCGTTATTGTACAGCGGCCTAAGCATCTGGTCTCATTGCAGTCGGTCGAATGTTGAGAATGACACGGTTGCACCAGTAAGGCTTCAGTCACATCCGGTTGTGATCATGAGAACTTAAGACGTGAATAGAGCGTGCTTCGTTGCCTGATCTTCGAGCATAGTTGTGGTAGTTTCATTGTGACGAGCAGCACATCTGACAATCGAAGCAGCTGTGCGGTCCGATATTTCAAGTGACCATATCTTTGAAACGAGGAGTCCGTAGAAAGTATAAATGGCTGTTCTGTAGAGAGGGTGTCTATGCGGTTCATTGTAGTGTGCTAGGTTTGCTGTATCAGCTGTTTGATGTGTCAGTGGGAAGTGACTCGCTCGAGCTAGCACTTTGGCGCAGAGGAAGCGTGTTGGGCTCATAACCCAAAGGTCGTTGGATCGAGACCAACAAGTGCTATCTTTATCCATGGACTCTCTGCATCGCTTGTCTCTGTTAAAACTCGTGTAGTCTGACTGCCCGACCGATTGATGCATCGGGTAGTATTGGAGTATTCATTCGAGACCGAAAACAGCTGCATCAAACGTGTCAGCACGCAGCGTTATTGTACAGCGGCCTAAGCATCTGGTCTCATTGCAGTCGGTCGAATGTTAAGAATGACACGGTTGCACCAGTAAGGACTTCAGTCACATCCGGTTGTGATCATGAGAACTTAAGATGTGAATAGAGCGTGCTTCGTTGCCTGATCTTCGAGCATAGTTGTGGTAGTTTCATTGTGACGAGCAGCACATCTGACAATCGAAGCAGCTGTGCGGTCCGATATTTCAAGTGACCATATCTTTGAAACGAGGAGTCCGTAGAAAGTATAAATGGCTGTTCTGTAGAGAGGGTGTCTATGCGGTTCATTGTAGTGTGCTAGGTTTGCTGTATCAGCTGTTTGATGTGTCAGTGGGAAGTGACTCGCTCGAGCTAGCACTTTGGCGCAGAGGAAGCGTGTTGGGCTCATAACCCAAAGGTCGTTGGATCGAGACCAACAAGTGCTATCCTTATCCATGGACTCTCTGCATCGCTTGTCTCTGTTAAAACTCGTGTAGTCTGACTGCCCGACCGATTGATGCATCGGGTAGTATTGGAGTATTCACTCGAGACCGAAAACAGCTGCATCAAACGTGTCAGCACGCAGCGTTATTGCACAGCGGCCTAAGCATCTGGTCTCATTGCAGTCGGTCGAATGTTGAGAATGACACGGTCGCACCAGTAAGGCTTCAGTCACATCCGGTTGTGATCATGAGAACTTAAGATGTGAATAGAGCGTGCTTCGTTGCCTGATCTTCGAGCATAG